ATGCCATGGCTAAGTGCCTAAAATTGTAGCTTCTTGGAATTTTGGAGGGCTTTGGATTCTAACACCTAGATCCAAGCCCACCTCTGGTTTGGGTACTAGTTGAATTCAAAACTAAAAGGGGAAGATTTAGTATTTCTATTACATAAGAACATAAGAATGGCCGTACTGGGTCAGACCAAAGATCCATCTAGCCCAGTATCCTGTCTATCAACAGTGCGTGGCCAATGCCAGGTGCCCCAGAGGGAATGAACCTAACAGGTAATGATCAAGTGATCTCTCTCCTGCCATCCATCTACACCCTCTGACAAACAGAGGCTAGGGACACCATTCCTTACCGATCCTGGCTAATAGTTCTTTTTAAAATGCGGTTATAGTATTAGCCTTCACAACCTCCTCAGGCAAGGAGTTCCACAAATTGACTGTGCGTTGTGTGAAGAAGAACTTTCTTTTATTTGTTTTAAGCCTGCTGCCCATTAATTTCATTTGGTGGCCCCTAGTTCTTGTATTATGGGAATAAGTAAATAACTTTTCCTTAACTACTTTCTCCACATCACTCATGATTTTATATACCTCTATCATATCCCCTCTATTATTATTATTATTATTTGTATTACAGTAGTGCTAAGAAACCCCAACTGAAACTGAAGCCCCATTGCGGTAGGTGCTGGACATACACATAGCAAGAAACGTCCCTGTCTCAAAAAGCATACAGTCCAAATAGACAAAAGCAGAGAAAGGAGGTATTATTATCACAGGTTTACAGGTGGGGAATGGCACAGAGAGATTAAGTAAATTGCCTAAGGTCACATATGAAGTCGGTGATACCATGGACTGCTGAGTCCCAGTCCAGTGCCTTGACCATAAGACTTCTTGTTTCCAGATCATAGAAAGCCAGAATCGCACAATATAACTGTTCTCATGAGTGTCTACAATCCAGTCTGTCAAACAGCTTGCAAGATTTTGTTGCCTTCCTGTTTGAACTATGAAATCTAGCTTTATCCTGACCCAGATCCAAACACCACCTCATTGACTCATAACTAGATACTGATCATTGTGAACTGAGGAGGTCTTCAACTAAGAAAATGAGTGGTACACTTACAAATGTCCTCACATCAGATATTAGAATTTTAAATCAATTATCAATCTTCCTTTTCTTCATTTACTGAGGTTTCTGTATAAATACTTTTCAAACAAGTTATTTATATAAATTTACCAGAATTTGTACTTAGTTTGTGAGCCAGATTTTCAAACAGTTAAAGGTACAGTTGTACATCTGCGTTGTGAGAATGCACGTAATATGCATGTGGAATCACTCACGGCTAGCTCCAGGTTTTTTGCCGCCCCAAGTGGCGAAGAAAAAAGAAAAAAAAAAACTGCGATCGGCGGCACTTCAACAGCAGCTCTACTGCACTGCTTCATTCTTTGGCAGCCCCTTCCCATTGGCCGCCCCAAGCACCTGCTTCCTGCGCTGGTGCCTGGAGCCGGCTCTGGAATCATAGAATCATAGAATATCAGGGTTGGAAGGGACCTCAGGAGGTCATCTAGTCCAACCCCCTGCTCAAAGCAGGACCAATTCCTAACTAAATCATTCCTGCCAGGGCTTTGTCAAGCCGGGCCTTAAAAACCTCCAAGGAAGGAGATTCCACCACCTCCCTAGGTAAT